AACTGTTTCTACCGTATCACAACAGGCAACGATGGCGAAGATGCAGTGCCACTTGGATGTGAACGATATGTAGCCTATACGCTGTGACTTTTTCGATGCCTTTTTTAACATTAGCCAACAATGTTGTGGATTCAATCATCGTGCTAACAAAAACCTACACACTTAGTCTAGATTACCGAAGTCAGTAAAATTTTACTGGGTTTTTTAATTGCGGATCACCCAGTAATCACCACAGCATTAATTTTCGTTACCGAACTATCAGTTAAGTCAAAGTGTCAAAAACTACTGAACGTTTGGTAATCCATTCGATTTGCATTCGGCTATATTAACTGGTAAGCCCAGTAAATGCGAACGTTATTTGCATTGCATTTAACTGACAAGGCAGTTATTTTTTCTTAGTAAATACCGTGTAAGCCAGTTAAAAAACTTTTTGTTAGTGTCGGGAGAGAAATAATAATTTCAATTCAATAACTATTAATTGCACAGAAGAAAACACGTTTGTTGAATTATATTTTTCAGCAGTTAATGATTTGCACTGATGGATAGTGATTATTATTATTATTTAACTTTATTAAGGAGGCTTTCAGCCTTGGGCTGGTTCGCCTCCAAAGCTGGATAGTGATATTCTCCCAGGAAATAAACACCATCAGTGTTGTCTTCGCATAATTTCCCACGCACGTAAAGGGGCTGGGGTGTCAATGTTTACTGTTGGGATTAAATCGTTACATTGAAAAAGAATTATTAGCAATTATAGCAAGTTTTTCAATATCAATGTCGAGCTTACTTCAGTCCATGATGATAAAACACACCTTTCTCCTCGCCTTTCTCAAATATTTACTGAAACATGTTTAAGAAAAAAAAACAAGGCAGCGGAGTCGGATCGGAGCCGGCGGCATTTTGGTAGGTTCCGGGCTCGGAGTCACTTCCAATGGTGTTTTATCGGTGTAATAGAAAGAATACTTTTGATTTGAACATCAGATACTTCGAAAATGCCTCCGACTCCGGCTCGACTCCGCTGCCATGGAAAAAATACTTGCTTCTGGATTTTCACTAAAGCTAAAGTGACAGCTTAGAATTTTACAATTCATGGTCAGTAAAATATGTTGAGTGTTGAGAAAAAATCTATGATTACTTTGTGTACAGTAACTATAATTACTGACTTTTCGTACAATACAGAAAATTTAGAACTTTCTGGCTTGCTCAGTAATTACAAATTCTGTGCTCAGTATTTTACAATAAACGTTACCGAAGTTCAGTTTGTATTTGCTGAATGTCATTAATTCCGCTAATTTGAACTGAATATTCAGTAAAATATTTGTTTTACGGATCAAGCCCAGTTAAAAAATACCGAACAACTAAATGCTGGATTAGTGTGTATACACACAAAATCACGGCCTCCCTGTTCGGTAATTTTTTACTGGGTTTTTGAACAGCTGAAAAAGTCAGTAAACTTAAAAAAATTGTAAAAAATTGTATAAAAGTGATTTTTTCTTGAAATTTATACAGACTGTGTTCTTATTACATTTATTTGATGATAAAAATAAAATATGTTAAAATTGTTCGTTGCATTACGATTGACCGTTATTTTCAGTTTACTGACTTTTTCAGCTGTTTGAAAACCCAGTAAAAAATTACTGACCCCAGTGAAATAATCTCTGTGTGTACACAGAGTTTAAATTACTGAAGTCGGTAAAATTTTACTGGCTTTTTAAACAGCTGAGTTTTCAGTAATCAACCCTGCTGTTTTTACTTTTACTGAAAACTCCGTAAATTGGAACGGTCAAAAAATACCGTTTAAGTCAGTCAAATAATTGCTGACTTTTTCAGTAATTTATTTGTTTACATTTTTTGCTGAGTTTTCAGTATTTTTATTTCAGTATTCTGATGAATAAGTCAGTGAATTCATCAAAAAAGTTCCATACGAAGCGTAGGATTAAAATGACTCCAATTGTTTATGATTTTTCTTTGGGACTGAGTTTAACGTATGGCGGTTCCTGGTGGATCAGCCGGTTGGTTGGGGGCTCTCTTGGTGTGCCGGATTGCATGTCCATGCCGGGAGCTAAAAGGCAATGTTAGTGATTGTTTTTCCGTCAAAATCATTAAAACATCTGGAAGTCGATGCAGAGTACATAAGTTGCCCAATTTCGTGGCAGTTTATGCACTCCTGCGTTGGCTTCCAGATGTTTTACTTATTTTCACAAAGGTGTTCTATTATCACACAGATATTTCCAAGGTTAAGTGCGCGAGGTGAAACGCATGAGGATGACGCAAGCAAGTTGACTTACTGGTGAGATCAATATTTTTTTTTGATATTATATTATATTATATTATATTATATTATATTATATTATATTATATTATATTATATTATATTATATTATATTATATTATATTATATTATATTATATTATATTATATTATATTATATTATATTATATTAATATAATATTAATTTCGTTTGATGACTGTTCTGTAAAACATAATGAATACTGAAAACTCGGATCTCTATTTTCCTGAGTTTTAGTCATTCACCGTAAATAGCAGTACTTGCTTTTACCGTATTCAGTACTTTGTCGCAATAGTCGTCAATAGTTTTATTGAAAATAGCTGAATGTTCGGTATTTTTGTGATTTACAGTTCGAAAACTGTAAAAAAAAATACCGAATAGGGAAGCCGTGATTAAGTGTGTATTTATTTTCACTGATTGGCGGTCAGAGCTGGACGGTTGGAGTATTAAACGCTATCTGGACGACCAATTGAAATTACAAAGAGCCTCGTCTGATACCAAGTTCAGTTGCTTACCGAAGGACAAACTGGGCAAGAAAGTTGTCGGTCTCGCGTCGACTCTGGCACAAGTAGATGGGGGTATAGCAAACAAATCTTCGGCTTCGAATCGCGGTACTAGTACCATCGACCTTAAAGTCCGCTCCAGCATCCCCCAAAATCTGGTTGTTTTTATCGGAGTTCCAGCTTCTTATCTCCACCGATGACGAGCAGAAAATTGTGGCTCTCTGACTGAATCTTACTTCACCGTGTGATGTGATTCGCTTAGTTTCGAAAGGAGAAGATGTCGTTCGTTTCATTTAAGATCCGACTCGATCCATCGTTGCAGCAACGGGCGCAGCTTGTGAAGACTTGGCTAAACGGACTGGTATTCGGACTGGTATATTTGTAGATCAGTCAAAAAACTCTCGTCGTCCTTCGAACAAACCAATGGACAACATCCAGACACTAGTTTAAGGCATTGTACTGCGGACGGTAGGAAACCTAGGATTCCCATTTCAGGCAAGTATTTATTTATTAGTTTATCTCCTCATTGTCATGACAACTACATATTTTTATCAATGTTTGGACTACAACAACCAAAATTAGATCAATGTAAGTGAAACTCCATAATTTATCATACTAATTCACCAAAATCTGCACACAAAATATTTCAAATCATTAGCGTGACCTCTAAACCTTCATAAATCTTTACCAATTTTTGAACAGGTTCATATTTTAGGGTTATGAACCAAACTGGAGGGTGACCTATCAGAAATTCATCTCCTTTTTAAAAATTAGGCACCCTAATGGATACCCTTGAAGAAGACGTAGAGTAGAACAGATGACATTCATAGCGAAGTTGCTGAATGGTGAAGGCGACTTTCCTCGGCTGCTCTCCATGTTGGACTTTCATACTGCTCAACGCCCTCTCCGACACCGGTCATTGCTACAGGACAATTATCATCGTACTTCATTTGGATACAATGAACCGCTATCGTCGATGATTCGAACTTTTACGTTGGTAGAGGATCTATTTGACTTCGGCGAAACATCTAGCCGTTTTAAAATAAAAATTACTAGTTCGTCGATTTTGTAATTGTTTAACCGTTGTGATCTGCTCAAATTTTTATTCTTTAAGACCCCAGATGTCAGATGAATTACAATGAAACAAATAAATAATTAATTTATATTTATAATTCATATTGATTGTGCAAAATTAGTTTTCAACTAAATGTGTTCAAATTTTAAGGAATGATTTGAGCACTTTGAAACAAAAATGTGCATCAGAATTATGATGCATGTTGACAACACCAGTATAAGCCATTACTTAGTTCACATAGAACTGGTCGACCGTTATTATGAGCAAAATGACTTATTTTTTGGCTTCTAACTTTTTCTTGGTATTTAATGAGAGATCGTGTGTCAAATACACTTGGTATGAATACCCTTCTTTGTAAGAAATGTAAGAACTAGATCAAAACCACCTAGCTGTGAAACGTGCCATTCTCGTATTTATACAGGAAAGAGTGAACACATTTAATGTTTTGTCATTTCTCCGGAACATTTGGTTCGATCAAAATGGTTCTATGGTATGATATGACAAGGACATTATGAACACACACTTGACCCTAATAGTCTTGAACTCGTAAAAAACGAAAAAATAATTAAAACCTGAACTTTGGAACTCGCTCAAGATGAAACTAAATTTATTTCATAAAATACTAAACCAATATCATATAGGGGAACAATGTTTTTGAGCGCTAAAATATGGCTAATCGCTGCTCTGATGATGATGGCGAAACCGTCATTTACCATAGATCAACGTTTGCAGATTTTTGTTTTAGGGCATGAACCGACCCAGAGTGGCATTATAGGCTATTGTGTTTTATACAACGTTGCGGATGCTTTTGTTGTTGGCGTGAGTATTTTTCACTGTAAAACATCGTCGCTAAAACATTACCGCCATCTGTTGAGTACACTTTGGTGGGCAGTACGCTCAACAAATGGTGGTAGTGTGCAAACGTCAAAAGCAAGAGAATTAACTATGCGTGCCACAGGTGGCGGTACTACCAACTACGATACTTTTAAATTGACCGTTAAATACTTGTTCGATGAACAACTTGCGTGTTTTATGTCTGTTTGTCTGTGACTACAGTGTTTTTAAATGCACTGAAAGAAATATCGATGTGCAGTAATAACCTGCAATAACTAAACGGAAGAAAAAATATCCTTACCAAGTCGGAAATCTATATAGCCTTCTCCACCAGACAGAACTAGCATGTCCCTTTTACAGGGGTACTGGGTTTGACTTTCAGGATTCATTGGTACCGCCACGAAAAATTTAACAGCATCTCTGTGGCCATGGAACGACAGTTGGGCATTTGCCATGCAGCACCGGGGCAATATTTTACTTGATATAGAACCACTAGGGTCGCTCAAAGGAACAGATATCACAACACCATTTCCGGTTCCTGTAAAAAATATGAAAGTTTAATTGTTTATCAAAACATTGTTTTAACATTTTATGCGACTAAAGAGTCACGCACAATGCATCAGGATCAGATCAGATGCATTGTCAGCGACATTCAACAGTCAAATCTGTTATCTGAATTGACAAATGTAATGTCTGATTGTAACACGAACCGTATAATATACTTGACTGTACTCAAGGCTACGCATACTTCAATATACATACCAATCCATAATCTGTTGCAGGACACTAACAAAGCTGTTATTCGTACAAACGAAAATCCTAGCTTTCCTGTTCCCAGCATTTTAGAAACATACGGTTCAATGTCAATATCTTGTATATGACAGTAATTCTCTGACGAGAATAAGCGTAATGTAGAGTCCAGTCTGAGAAAATATATAAAAATTAACAATAGAAATATGCTGCTCATTGACAAAAAATAATCACTAACCTTATAGATACCCATACACCTAAACCAGTGGCAGCCATTTGCCGTATTTGGCTTTCCTTTCGTGGATGCGCTTCAAACGAATGCAGTACGGTTAATGTGATTGGATCTATGACATGAATTCTATTACGATGCGCAGCCCACACTTTGTCTCCAACTATTGTCAGGCACCTAATTGAGTGCTTTGGTGATCCTAGAGTCAATATGTGATAATTATTGATATCCCACTCGCCGCTGATTTGCCTTCTGAAGACAACAAGTGATCCGTTGGCTAATGCCACAACAACTCTCGATTCCACATGAACTATCGACAGAATAGAATCGGGCAGTTTTATTTTATGTAAACACACACTCCATTTTGCTATAGAACTGTGAACATATAGCATTCCATTTTGAGCACCCATCCACATTGTTGGGCCAATAGATGACACTGGAGGATCGTCATTTAAAGATTTATTGTTGGAATCCTCTTCACACTCAGTGATGTTATCATTCTTGTCAGTATTCATTGCACTAGTTATTTCGACAATTTCATTTTCAACTGTTGCAGTAGCTTCCTAGAAATTGATAAGAAATCGAATTCTGTAAAATTAATTTCAACCACATTACATATGATATTAGTTTTGGTAAAAAATCTTCAACCCTAACGCAGCAAATTTGTCGTGATCTGGGTGCACGAGTTAAGACCCAAACGCAACATGGGTGGAAGCCAAATGGTTGCGGCATGATTTGAAAGTTGTCACAAATGACACCAGGATGTCTAACCGGAGTCAATTTGGTTTTAACTAATTTGCTACACGACAAAAGTAGGTTTACTCAGATTGGACTTTTGCGCTGCTGTTCCGCTTCCGCTATCATTGCGTTCGGGCCTTTACAGGACACTTAAGCTTTTCCTGGAAACAGCATCATATATTTATTTACCTTTGTGTTGTGATTTTGATCGCAGTTTGCAGATGGCGTTTGTCCACTTTCCGGAATATTGTCATTATTTGTTTGGGATACTAATGGCTCATGTCTAACAAATGTAACTTTGCCAATATCATCAGGAGAACTTCCAGGATTTTCCAGCATTTCTCCTAAAAAGGTATTTGTTTTCAAATATGTTTCTTAAAATTTAAGCCACAGATAAACGAACCTGCTTTGGTGACTTCACTATTTTCTAAGAGGGCGTAATCTTTTTCCTCCGCACCTTGCACGGTGCATATGCAAAGTAGATGGTTTTGACAAACCGGAAACGAATCTAACACTTCTGCTGGATTTTTGGCATCTATAACGGTAACAGTGCTTGCTGAATGTGTGCTTGTACAAATCCAGATAAATGAACTTAATTCCGTTTCGCTATTCAAAGCATTGTTGATAGATACAAGTTGTTTTTCAAGAGATTCAAGCTCATTTATTTCAGCTGCTTCACCTTCTGTGATTTCAGTAATTTTGGTTTCTGATTTCTTTGAATAAAATATGCTAGCTCCAACCATGCAACCACCATCTTTTGTGTATCCTCCGTGGAGATTTACTCCACATGCACACCAAACCTTCATATGAGGACTTGCTTCAGCCAGTGGTCTACAGTATACAGGAACCGGAACTGGAACACCACTGTTCACCTTGGAGGCATTGCCCCCAGTCATGGGCTTAGTTGAGGGAAGACTCCAACCGTATGCTTGCAACCGCCCGTCTTCTTTTTGTACATGAGCTCTTACTTGTCGATATTGATCTCGCCGTCTTTGAGTAGCTCTTTCGGAGTTAGCAATTTCCGGTTCTTTTGTAAGAACTAGAACATTTGAAGATTTCATAGAACTAAAATGAGCAGGACTTGTGAATAGTCTTGCTTCCGCAATCCCTTGCATATTAGGGCTTTGGTTTGTACTATAACGAAGTAATCGCCCCCCGGAAGATTCAGGCGGAGGTCTATCGCCTGAACTAAAAAGGTTACTAAAAAACTTCCAAATACTCTGTTTGGATTTTTTATCTAGATTCTCAACTCTAGAGGCACGCATCATCTCTGTCCAACGTACAGCGTCTTGCAGCTCCATGAATCGTTCTTTATACTGTAAATAAAAAAATGGAAAAATTTGCAGCAACATTATTATAACATCTTCGACGTAGGTTTTAACAAGTAGTATAGGTATATGTACACTCCCGATCATAAGTTTGGGGCCACCGTTTAGAGAACACGTACCGGGACGCAGTTAAGATAATCTAGAATTCAATGTTGGTTTTAAAAATAAGTAGGGTAGAGAACTACTTCGACCTAATAGCTTATTTTGGGCCTATCGAGCAGAAAACTTCAAATAAATCCATGATTTCAGAGTTGACAAGTCAATTGTGTGTTTGGTACGATACTTACTTTAGTTAATAAGCTACGGTACGAAGTCAATGAGAACGCATTGACAAAAGAAGCGCTCCGATCGAATCAATTTGTATCTTCATCCGATAGGCCGAAGTGATTTCATTGGCGTTTCAGTGGCGTTTCAATGCGTTAGGTCGAGTTTAGAATCCATAGGCCGAGTTTGGCGTCAAGAAGCAGTGTTAGACTTTTGACAATATTTCAACGATTGGTTTCTCTTTATCAAATCTTACGTACTTAATCGGTACGTACGGAAAGGTAAACAAATTTGGAAGCCATCAGTAATAATAACATTCTGTTTGGTGCTAAACTGCGCTAGATTAAGGAGGACTAAGTGCGGGTTGTACTCAATAAGCCGGAAATGGGGTAGTTAACCCTACTCAATATTTTTTTATTTACATAGGGAATTAGGCGTATTCTCGACAAAATAAGCGGCGTCCGTATTTCTATAAGCATTTTCTCAGCGGCACGCACACATATGACGTGTTATTTTCAATTACATTTATCTGTTGCTTTGCTTTTCTATACATTACAATCGACAGAATTGTTCAAAACGGTTTGATAACGATTTTATGACTGTTGCCGGCAGTTGAACTGCGCGTTACACAACTGTTCTATTATCGGCAACCTCGAAATCAGCCGTATTTTGTAGTGAGTATGTTTTATTTAAAATCTGGCATAACAGGTTTGCTCAGTCATAAAAAAGTAATCAGACTGAAGCTGAAAGACTAAGGAATCGTTTAAATACATGCAGCAAAGTGTTTTGGTTAAAAAAAAACAACGGAAAACGTTAAAATTTTGGTTGCCGAAAACAGTCGATGGATGCCAAAGCCACACAGATAAAAATTCTGAATTTTAATAGTGATTTAAACATTCATTCACGTAAACTTGTATTTCATTTCACGCAACCGAGCAACTTGTAAACAATGTTGTTTACAACAATGGGCTTTTGTATACAATATTTGCTACATTGCATGAAATGTCTCAGAACTTTACATGATATATAATGTAAACTTATATGATACGTGCCCTTATAAACAAATACCATAAACGAACTGTATCCCGGATGGGTAAACTATCACACAAATGGTTTGGATGACATCCCGAACACGTCGTTATTAGGGTAACGCTCTATTTATGTGCATCATACTGAACAGTAATTTACACTTATTTTTCGAACTGTGCATCATTTACCCAACTGTTAGTAGTGCGTCATTTACCCAACTGTTAGTAAGTAGGATTAACTATCCCATTCCCGGCCTATTAAGCACAACCCGCACTTGTCTTTCTAAATCAACACACTTAGAAATAACTAATTTTACAAGTGACAGAATCCATCTTTTACATAAACGATGAGACGTAAACAAACATGTCATGTAATATTAAGTGCTCCGAGACTGAAAAGTTCGTTGCTCGACGAAAAGTACGTTTGATTAAGCTATATTTCACGTTTGTTATTACTCAAATTTGTGTCAAAATTGACGCTCGTATATGTCAGTCTCAGAGCACCTAAATATACATGAATTTTTCTTAGCGTGTATCGTAGTTTAACACCATACGGAATATTATTATTATATATGACTTCCAAATTGATTTAGCTTTCTATATATATATATGTGTGTGTGTGTGTGTGTGTGTGTGTGTCTGTGTGTGTGTGTGTGTGTGTGTGTGTGTGTGTGTGTGAGTGTGTGTGTATGTGTGTGTGTGTGTGAGTGTGTGTGTGTGTGTGTATGTGTGTGTATGTGTATGTGTGTGTGTGTATGTGTGAGTATGTGTGTGTATGTGTATGTGTGTGTGTGTGTGTGTGCGCGCGTGTGTGTGTGTTTGTGTGTGTGTGTGTGTGTGTGTGTGTGTGTGTGTGTGTGTATGTGTGTGTGTGTGTGTGTGTGTGTGTGTGTGTGTGTGTGTGTGTGTGTGTGTGTGTGTGTGTTCAATCTAACCCCCGCTGGCCGACAGTGTTATTATGGAAGAACTCTCTCTACAATGTCGCATTTATGGCAGACAGCTTTAGTCCGGGAGTTAGAAGGTGATAGCTCTATTGCAGATCCAGCAACCCATTTCATAATGTCTGGTGAGTCACGCCCATTCCGAGGTTACTTTCACTTACAATAAACCCCGCATGTACGCATCATCGTTATCAAATGGATATTGGTATTACATACACGCTTCCAGGTTCGAAAATATATTTTTTTCAAAACTGGCATGTATTTAGTTTAATTTTGATATATATTTTTTTAATAATTGGAAAGCTCTCACCATATTCTGCTTTTCCGCCGTCGTTGATTACTTCTTTTGGAATCCCTTAGACTTTTTCTCTAACGCTTCGTATTTCATTCCGTGCTTCACCGGCAATTTCCTTCCATAGATCGTCCTTGATTGGTTCTAATATGATTCCGCCTTTTTTGGTCAGTTTCATTGAATTGAAATGAATTGCCATGGTGATCTGGGACGAGGCTCACGTCCAAAGTCGCTGTTCCACCGAGCGCTCCGTGTGCGAAAAGAGAATGAAAGAAATTCGAAAGGGATCAGTTTCAAGAAGTGACAGTTTCATCAGATTCCCCAACTAACCATAGTCAAGCAAAGTAAGAATATACAAGCTATATTGCGACTATATGGTTACTTGGGTACTCATATGGCCGTCAGAATGGTTCATCGGTTGCGAAGTGAAATATTTCTGAAAGTGATGCGTTATATTTCTCAATGTTTTGATTTTATCGTAAAGTAACCTCCATGTTATTTCACAGACAAGCAGACACAACACATTGCTCATTTATCATTGTAAACCCTACCGCCATCTGTCGTATATACTTTCATGGGCAATACACTCAACAAATGGTTGTAGTATGTAAATGTCAAACGCTAGGGAATTGATTATATGCACCACAAGTGGCGGTATTACCAACTAAGAAACATTTAAATTGACCGTTCGATTTCTATGAAGGTTTTAAGAGTGTTATGTCTGCTTGTCTGTGATCATACCTTCACTATCGCAACTTTGGGTAATCTGCGAAAGTATTTGCATTTTTCTCAAGCACTTTTGATCTAACTGCAATTACTCGCTCATACTCGAAATGTGCCACGACCAAATTGGCACAACGACGCCCTACACACTCAATCTAGCTCGGTAAAATCTCCAACAGCCGATTACCTCGGCATTTACTTTTGCTGATATATCAGCAAAATATCTATTTGTTAGCTGATAGCTCAGCAAAATGATATTTGTTAGCTGAGTCTCGGCAATTGTTTTACAGAATCTCAGCAAACTAAATTGCAGAACTACTCGGCTGTTGAAATCTCGGCGAAAAAATTTAAGTGTGTATACGCTCTCTGACCGAAGCGCAGGGAATTGATTTAGCTTTCTATATGTACCGTTATTTCTGATAAAGGGTCGCGAAATATTCGTTTATAGTTGAAAATGCAAAACTGCTTCTGGCGGCTCAACTTGGCCTACACACTTAAATTTTTTCGCCGAGTTTCCAACAGTCGAGTAGTTCTGCAATTTATTTTGCTGAGATTCAGTAAAACAATTGCCGAGACTCAGCTAACAAATAACATTTTGCTGAGATATCAGCTAACAAACAGATATTTTGCAGAGATATCAGCAAAAGTAAATGCCAAGGTAATCGGCAGTTGGAGATTTTACCGAGCCAGAATAGGTGTGTACGGGTTCTCTTCGTGCTCTTCTGTGTGCCTTTTGTACACTTCAAGTGCGCCTTTTGTTTTCGAGATCTTATTTTGCGTTCTTCAACACTTCGTCTTGCAGCTATTGAATAGAAGCATCGTACCAAATGTTTGTTTGACAAGTTCACGCCGAAATCATAAGTGGACCCTACACGACAATACATTCTATATTGACGTCAATACATCGGTATTGACAATATTTCTGTATTCACATAACCAATATTATTATCAATACTTGTAAGTATTGACAATATTTCTTACCGTGTGGGGTTCGCTATAGATATATTTTATGTTATGTGCTCGATAGGCCGGGAGTAGGCGAATAAGCCGAAGTAGAATTTTCCCCTATCATACACACTTAGTTTTTTTTTACCGAGCTCGGCAAAATAAGTTTCACTGACATCTCAGCAAAAGTGACATTTGATTGCTGAGTCTCGGATAATGCTTAGATGAATCTCAGCGAACAAATGAAATTTTTGCTGAGATCTCAGTAAAACTTTTTTTGCCGAGATTTGCACAGCCGATCTCGGTAGAAAAAAAACTAAGTGTGTAGAACAAAAAAAAAGTGATGTAAAAACTTGTTGAAATTTTTATTTAAATTCGCTTCATGTTTCTAATTTTACCGCACTAATTTCGCAATATGCCTTGATTGACACAGAGTGTTCCTTATTTGACGCACTGAACAAGATTATGTAAATTCAACAAATAACGACTGTTTATTCAACTTTTTGTAATATAGGAGAAATTGATGTAATGTAGGCCTAAATGCCCATACTAGCAATCGACTAAATTTTCAATAGTGACCAAAAATATCCATTAGTACCGTTCCAATGACGCGTTCATCTAGATAAAATTGATAAATAGCAGATTTTTAGTGATTGGCCCAATCTCAGTCCAAAGGCCAACATTTGTGCATTTCCCCTACATATCCCCATTTTCGGAGCAGCTTTAGATTTAGACTCTTGACGGCGCTTTAGAGCTGCAGATTTTTTTAGCGTCTCTAGTCATTATCTTCTCTGCTCGGATCTGTTCTTCCTTCTGCTTTTCCGATTCCATTTTTGCATACCATGCTTTATATTCTCCGGTGTAGTTTGTTGCAAGATAAATACTTTATTGAACAGCTTCTCCTTTTTCTCAGATAAACCTGATTGAGATAAGTCGTGTGATGTTGCTGACTTCACCTGCTCATCCGGATGCCTGTCCGGACGCGTTTGGAGGTTTTGGCTCTCCCGGAGGTTCTTCATGATTTCACTTTCTTCGTGTCCTTCCGTACATCTGACGGATTCGTCATTTCTTGGGCTCTCTGTTATCTGAAATTTTAAGAAGCATTTGATAGTTAACCGCATTAGGATCCCACCGCCCGATTCCTCACTTCCAGAAACCATTTACAAGTATGGGTTTCAAGTTCTTCATATTACACACTAAGATTGTTTCACAGATTTCTGTGAAATTTTACCGAAATCTCAACAGCTAAACGTTCGGTTAACAGTTCGGTGATTTTCCACAGCATTTGTGTAATTTCTCTGTGAAAAATTACAGGAAAACTATGAAAAATCAGCGAACGTTCATCTTTTGAGATTGCAGTAAAATTTCACAGAAATCTGTGAAAAAATCTTAGTGTGCAGCAACCGCTTTTTTCAACAGCGCTGCAATTTCATGCATTGGCAAGGACTCCCTAGCATGAAAGGTTCGATACTCAATAAGATGTTCCATTAGACCTTCAATGGTCTAAAAAAGGATACGTCCAATGGCGTACGTGGGTCGAATTCAGGAACAAGGAAATCAGATAGATCTGTTTCGTGCGACAATATTCAACAATCTGGTCCGATACGTGAAAAGAATGGTCATCCACAAAACAATAATTGGCAGCGGTATTCCTGTCAACCACCGTACAAATACGTGCTTCAAGCAATTAAAAAATGTTTCGTGAGTCATCCATCCTGATTGATTTCTTCCAACAGCCCAACCTGGTGGTGTATTCAGAGCGATTTCAGCCGGAAGACATTGTTTGTAAGGGGAAATAATCAACGGCGGAGCGTCCCGGTGGCGTTGGCCACAAACAGAGCAGTATAACTTTCCTTCTCGGAGTTTCCGTTGCTCGTGTGAACATATTCTTCTCCAGTTTTAGCACCTGCTCTTTTGCCGGGACCATGCTAAATGCCGATTCATCCTTATTGAACACAAATTCTGGCTTCTCAAGAACTTGCTGTAGCTTTTCATTGTTTATAAATGAATCAACTTCACAGAACCAGTTTCTTATCTGATGCCCCGAAACTGCAGTGCGTTGCATCGAGAGAGCACTCGGTGCGCGTCGCGATATTTCACGATGGCGTCGTAAGAACAGCTTCAACCACTTAAGACCGGGACTCCTTCAATAAAAGGATTAAGTCTGCTAGACAGCTGAAGAAAGTATTAAACAGATGTTTTCAATCTTTGTGCATCAACCGAAAAACCCGCTTTTGCCTTGTCGCAAAACGGATCCACTCGATAATAGTCCTTCCCTCTTCCGCAGCCAAAATTGTTGGCTTCCCGTGAACACTGCTTTGATTGCTTCAACTTCCGCCGTACAGTGGCCTCTGAAACGCTAAATGAATTTGCTGATTGCTCGATAGATACGTGCCATGTCACTGCTTTTCCAAGCTTAGCTACGGTGTAGACTATGTACTTATTATCGGATTTTGTTTCGGATCCCATGTTTTAGGTCTGAAAATAATTAGGAACTGTATGAGCATAAATTGACGCAAAGCTTTCGGTCGAAAAAATTGATTAGAAACATATATAAGTCGAATTACAAGCACCAGATCAATAGTAATAAATACGTTCTTATAGTTAAAGATGATTTTAACATTAAAAATATGATTTTCATATGCAAACTAATAAAAATTGTACACGCGTTTGTTAACTCCTTACCCGTAAAAATATCCAATAAAAATACAATGAATTTCATTGTAACCATGATATTTACTGTCAAAACATTGGCCATTTTTAGTTGATTACCATAAAATCACAACAATGAAAATCGTGGTATTTGATGAATAATTATTTACAGTAAAAAAGGGGGGTTGCTAAGCATCTAAAAAATCTCTAACAAATTTAATCTCATCACATTAATTTTCATTGTTTGATCATTTTATCGTTAAAAATCTAAAATTTATTTTTCTCCGTATAATAATTAAACAATTAATTTTAATGTACTCAAAATTCAACAGTAAAAATCTTTGTAATTTCATTGCTTGATTATAATTATTTTTTTTCTCCGGTAGCTATGGTAGTCGAAAATTGACGCATTTGACAGATGATTTCTTTCTTTTGCTTTTATTTTGACGTTTACTAAAGATCAACAGACAACTTTGTGTTACGAACGTGATGAATAAGCGTAAACAAAAATACTACGATTCATTTGAGGGTATACTTCTGCGTGAAATTCCTAAGAGGAAGAGAAGATAACTGGCTTCTTTTTGTCTGTGACGTGTTCTTCTTCTCTCGCTAAAACGACCTTGCAAAAACTATTGCATTATGGACGACGCAGTCGACTGTCAAAATACAAGAAAATAGATTTCGTGTTGTAAAAATTCTGGCGTTCCTATACGTTCACCCGAACAATCAAACGCTGGTTCGCGTTTGACAGAAAATTGGTTCAAAAAAGACCCTATATTGTCTCCTCTTCCTCTTAGTGAAATTCGAATAATCATCAATTTAATTTAAAAGCGCGTCAAATATGAACCCGCGCCTCCACGGTAAATGTTTGTTGATCATATCTCATATCTTTATAGATAATTTGATAGGTGTTGACTAAAATTTAGATCATAGGTAGCTGGTTTAATTCATTTTACATTTTTTGTGTACTATAACTTCTCTTAAAGTTAAAACATTTTCCAAAATTCACACTGAATATTCATGACTGATTATTTCAGAATTGGGTCGGCCAAATTTTGAAATGAAAGTGGAAGTAGAACCCTAATTCTTAAACCATAGTTGGAAAATTTAGAATATCCTTTAAATCAATAAAATAATTATGCAAGTCATCGATCAAAAGTGTGAGTAACCCATTTGTATGATTTGTCGGTCGTTAAATGGAAATTGGAAAATCAATCATGAATATTCAGTGTGAATTTTGGAAAATGTTGTAACTTTAGGAGAAGTTTTAGACTATTAGTCGGTTAGTCTATACCTTTCAAAGATCGAAAATATGTGTAAAGGGTCCAAACTTATGATCGGAAGTGTACATGTGTTATTTTTGTAAACAAAATCATTTGTGTTAAGCTTCTGCTTTGCAAACTGTATGAGATAATGGCTGGGTCTTTTTAATAACAACTATGAATGATCATTTCTTGCTTACTGCTCTAGCTTACCTGGTTGTTTAAGTTGTTGAATGATTCTAAACACTTGGTAAAGTTCATGTAAATTTAGTTGCTCTGAGTCTGACAAAGACGAGCGTTAATTTTCAAACAAAATTTAGTCATAACAGATGCGAAATTCAGCTAAATCAAACATACTTTCCTTCGAGTATCTAACTTTTCAGTCTCAGAGCATTTAATGCTAAATGTGTGTTTTTGTCTCATCCTTTCATAGATGGATTCCATCACGTGTAAAATTAATTATTTTTAAGAGTGTACCTAACCAATCAACTTCACAGATATTGGATTTGATTATAACAAAAAAAAACTCACCTGATTCCGCTCCATAAGCACACGAGCCATTTCCACCCTGGTGAATCGCTTTCTTTGAGCCATTGGAATGTCACCCTCCTCTTCTTGATCGACTGTAGTTTGCTTAACTTGAGCTTTAGTCTTCTTAAGTTCCTCCTCCAGCTCGGTAACTTTCAATTTGAGTTTATTCCTCGACAAAATCACAGCATTCAGCTCTTCTCGAAGGATCTCTATTTCACCAGTTAATTCGTCAACCTTAACTATTAGATCATCTTTTACAATATTCAATGCATTTCTGAAAACGTGAGATAAGCGTGAATTAATCAAAAACCAATAATAAGTTTTAAAGTAAGAATAATGATTTTCAGCATTTAAATTTTCAATAAATGGGGCCCACAATAATTGAATATCATTACATAATAAGTCGCTATGGAGACGCATTTACAACGCTCTTTGTGAATACTGCTAATCATATTCATGGGCTGTGAAATTTGCAGTGGTTATCCACAAATTATGTAAGGGTTTTTGAGTGATAATTAGACTCCCTCCTCCCTACTTTTTAGAAACTGAAAGATTTCCAGTAAACCCCCCCTCCCCCCGCCCCCCTTCAATCCTACAATCTTAATGTTCACATTAACTGTCAATATTATGTAAGAAAAGGTGAGGGGTTACCCTCATTGTAAGAAATTATAATATATTATGCGACTCCTCTCTCCTCCAATCCCTTACATAATGTGTGGATGACCCCAATTTAAAAAAAATACTACAAGCATATAATATATTTTACTAACTTGGTAGCCAGCAGCTCATTGTTTTCCATTATAAGGTTTTCTACTTCTTTTCCCATTCCTGAAAATTAAAAAGAAGACAATCGTTAGTATTTTAATTTTTATATAATTCAGTATTGTTTGTAATTGAATGAGAACAGCATGATGATTGAAGATTAATTAGTTAAAAACCAGTCAGAGAATAAACCCTTTAAATATGCTTATCATTGTCATTATTTTGAGTAAGCAAGTCGACTGGTTCTGTATAAAATATGTTTTAAGAATATAAGAATTGTTTTGTTTGTATAGAGATATTTGACATTAGTGGAATATTAATCAAGTACTTACCAAAAAAGTTGTCATTTACTGAAAATTGGAAAAAATTAATTAGTGTAGTTAGAATATATCACACAGCGTATTAATGTTATTTAATTTTAATTTTTTCTTAATCAAACTTGATGAAAAAGCATGAAGCCAAATATGTCAGTTACTATATTAAATGAAGCCAAACTACCGGGCGTGAAATATACACATTTGTCTTACCTGAAGATGCGTAATCTCCCGGATGTACCCATCCTCCTGTTATTTCAGCCTCTTCACTTTCCACATTATCATCTTGGAATGACAATTCTTGGTAAAGTGTATTGCCAGATCTTTGCTCTTTTTTAGTGGTCGTTTTTCCTCCAATAGAATTCGTCATTACCGGTTTTGATGCTTCACTCTCTGGGGAAGTAGCTTGATTTACTTGATGCATTTTCTCTGTTTCAGAAGATTTTTCTGCTGTAACGACTTCCAATTCGTTATGTAGCGATGATGGTCCTGAACCTGAGCTACTTTCTCCACTGCAGACGACATCCGAATCGAGCATAGTGGAATTTTCAAGTGACGTAAAGCCATAGGATACCGGACCAGACGAACGAGCCAAAGGTAGCAATCTAGATCTATGCATATCCATTCGTTCTGATGCAGCACTAACTTGAGAATGATTGGAGTTCCCCATCATAATCTTTGCACGTTCCATATAATCAACATGTGTTTTGAATAATTCTGTATAGCGGTCGTGAAGTTTGCTATACTCCTTTTTGAGCTCACTTTCCCGTTCTTCTAATCGACTAGAATGATCCATGCTGTTTTTATGCTTAAGCTCCAGCATACGCACGATACTTTCCAAAGTCTCCAATCGACTTGCCAACTCCTTATTCTCTTGCTCTGCCAGATCTTCAGTTTCCAAGAGTTTTTGTTCAGCTTGTTTTCGTGCATTTTTCTCTCTTTCATATTGTGTGACAAGTTGTTCGTTATCTTCTCGTAGTAGCTCGAGCTCAACATCTTGCTCTTGATTATTTTGGTACGCCGAATCCAAACACTCCAGTACGTTGACCAGTAATGGCATAAGAGTTTTGACAACGTCTTCGTCATATCGTTGTATCATGCGCTCAAACTCCTGGTAAATTGAGCCAGCTAGCGATTGAACCTTCAATAAAAATACGTTTCAGTATTAAATTAGTATTACAATTATGGCTTACGCCATAATAATTAGGAATGGTTTAATGTAATTTCAAATAATGTCGCACAACAAAACTATGTTGCAATCATAAACACGCAAAGGTCCTTTTCAGCCATACTACGGATGACTCGACAAACAACAACAAACACAAAATTGGGCAGGAAAAAAAATTGACAGTAGGTTGTCAAAATGACCTAAATTGAGATTTCCAATAGGAAAAAATCTTATTGGTCAAAATGATATCATGGAAGTATCGTTTGCCCACAACACAATTAAAGAAGTGCCAAATCTATCCCGCATGATCAGGAAGTAAAAAAATTAAAATGTATGTACTATAAATCCAATTGTGATGCCTACCTTTTCAGACATCACCATTGCAGCGTCATCGTGGGTTCCATAAACAATTTCCGAATCGCCACCTTCTGCTTCCATTTTGAATGACTAGAATCGCAGCTATACAAACTTTAAACCAATATATTCACTTTTCTTGAACTTGTATTACTTAAATGTTTGCGTATTACTAATAATGCATGATTTTTACATAATTCTATTAACAAGATAATCTTCAAGGGAGCCAGTTGTAGGAATCTCTAAACAATATTATTATTTCGATTTTCTTATCTCCCAACACCCGAAATAGTTACAGCAACAAGAAATGTCACAATATGGGTAAATACAGCATATGCGCAATGCTATAATTTATACACGCTAACTTGAAAGTACTCATTAATGAGTAAAAAAAGACCCATTTTGAAGAAAAGTGGCTTAACTCATTAATGATTAAACAATTTTACCCATTAATGAGTATCTGTTACCCATTAATGATTAACAATTACTCATTAATGGGTAACAGATACTCATTAATGGGTAAAAAATTTACACATTTAATGAGTTAAGCCACTTTTCTTCAAAATGGGTCTTTTTCAACCATTAATGGGTACTTTCAAGTTAGCGTGTATGTTATAACAGTTTGGGAGACCAACAGCGACACGGTATGTCTAAAGAACAATGTTCTTAAAAAATACTAATCTGTGCACCGATCTCTTTTCGTGAAATAAATTGGAAAGCGTTTTGTGCCCATAATATTACAATACTACCCCCGCAAAAAAAACACCACGATGACATCATGTTCGTTTAGCTACACTAACTGATGACAGCTTATCTATGGAATCTATAGTTCATAGTTCAAGTTAAAGTTTAGCTCTTTGAATTTTTCACTGATATACACCGAAAAAAGTTTTCATATAGCTTCCATTGGAAACGCACATGATATTTTTCCAATAACAAAATTAATGATTTTTATCTGAAATTCACATAACATTCATATAATCACATGAATTTTATGTGATAAATCACATAATTTTCATTGGACACATAAGGCTCATGTGATTATGTAGTGCGATTCACAATTATGAGATCACATGAAAGTAATGTGAAATTCTAATGGATATTTTCCATTGGAAATGTGATTTATTTTTTGAGTGTAACAAAACAAGCAAACTTCATTGCAACTGATTTTAGCTTAAAAAAATATCAATAAATTTTCTGTGATTTTTAAAATATTTGCAAGGGAATTTCACCTCGTAACATTGACGGCCATTTTCTCAATGCCTACTTTTTCCATACACGGTAATCGCAAAAAACTCTTTTATGACTATAAAGTACACATTTTTGAATGAAAACGGGACTACCCACGAAATGAGTAAAATTTTACACATTTATGAGTAATTACTAGTACAAAAATGAATAAATTTTATGCATTTATGGGTACCAGATACTCATAAAATGTGTAAAAAATACACACATTTTAGGTGTAGTCCCGTTTTAGCCGAATATGCATACTTTATAGTCAAAATTGAGTCCTTTATAGTCATTTTTGCGTATTTTGCGGTTTCCGTGTATGGGACTGATATGCGATTATAGGCAGTATACACTCAAAAAATTTATCACATAGGGGTTTGGTAAATGCGAAGATAGAAAATGTATTTGTTTTTTACATTTCAGTAACTTTTAGAACCTCATTCCAATAGTTTTTTGAACCACCCTACGCTGTTTGTATTTGCTTTTGATCCTCTCTTGCGTTTACCTTCAATGACGTTTATATAAGGTCCGGGCCAAAGGGCTGATTGGTGTTAGTGAAATGTGCAAATGTTTAGTGGTGTTCGTATTTTATTGCAATGTTTATCTTTTTACACGAAACAGCTGTTCGGAGATGTTCAGCAATGTTTACAACATTTTTGTTTCTAACACCAGCAAGCTGCCTGTTGGCCCAGACCTTATATAAATGTCATTGGTTTACCTTCAGTGAACACTAACACACACAAACACACGTAAGAAAACCTATGTAGAACAATCAGAACGCGAAATAAAGTCAGTACTTTGTAAACAGTCAATAAGTCCGGGCGTTTCAAGTTTTTATTTTCCCCGTCCGAGTTCACCGTGAGTTGCAACCTGAAAATAATTATAGTCTATAAAAAGAACACGAAGGCACACGAAGTGGTTCGGGATCGGAACAAAATTTCTAGATTTTACAGTTGGCCTGGATCTAAGATTGGGCCCATCGCCAAAAATCTGTTATTTTTCAATTTTATCTAGACGAACGCGTTATAGGGACGTTACTAATGGATATTTTTGGTTGCTATTGAAAATTAAGTCGATTGCTGAGTTTTTGTATGGGCCCAAATTAGGGACACTTAGGCCGACATTACCTGCATTTCCCCTATCTACACGGACAGAAAATTGTTTGCATTGAACCAAAAAAAAAACTTAAGTTGTATTTAAACAAACAATTCCGGTTGAAATTATATTGCATTTTGTTGTTTCAATAATACACTAGTAAAAATCCACACATAACTAATAGAAAATTTCTATAAAAGATTAAGCATAATATTCATTTGGCTATACATAATTAGATATCATGAAACAATACACATACAGATTATGTGTCATATAAACAGTATGTGTGATCACATATAGAGATGGTATGTGCAAGTGAGATTTATGTGTCTGGCTTATAGAAACTATATCATAAAAATAATTGCAAAAATCTATGTGTTTAACACATAGAAACAATCATTGACTTTTTCTCAGTATACTTATTCATATAAATTCAAAATAGGATTCTTTTTGTTTTAATAAGCCACCTTTCAACTGCAACTATTGTAAAAATAACAATATTCTATTATTAAGCCAACAATAGTAAATTTTAATTTAGCTTTTTTTTTGCTGTGTCCATTCCCCGGGCCATGAATGCAAAAATAACTACCAACCATTCCCACGTTTTCACCCGGACAAAAATGTAAACAATAACAAAATTTCCGAAAATCTTGAGACTTGAGGTAAGTACACAGCAAATCGATCAACACAGCAAAAAAAATGTAATATCGATCAACGTAATTCAAGCTAATGTATGAAATAATGATGTAATAGCAAAGAGCAGATACAATATTACATCAATGGACGTGATTTTGTTCGCAAAATCGATGTACATCGTACAATGAAATACTACACGACCAGTGGAATGATCTCTGTGCAGCTGTTTGGATGTAATATTCAACCTTTTTTTCTGTGAACGTAATTCAAGCTGATGTATGAAATAATGATGTAATAGCAAAACGCAGATATAATATTACATCAATGGATGTAATTTTTTTTTCGCAAAATCGATGTACATCGTACAATGTACACAACCGATGGATTGACCTGGTTGCAGCAGTTTCGATGTAATATTCAACAACTTTTTTGCTGTGATAAGTATGCTGCAGTTCGAGCTGCAGTTGCTAAATATAATAAATTTTCCTGTTTTTTTCCTTCATTTTTTTCCGTCGATCTTGTTTTCCGTACTGAGTACCAATGCTCCCGACGCCAGGAAGGCTGCTCCCTGGACCTGGACCCTACATATCGACCAATCAACTAATGAACCGGGGACCAACGGCTTTACTTCCCTTCCGAAGGATGATCAGTGAAAAAGAAAACAAAACATAAAAAAAAAATTAGCCATATTATTTCCGAAGTGATTTGAGATTTGGGCGTAATTGCATTTGTAAACAAAAACGTCAATCACCGATTTCTCGCGAATAAAAGCTCAATCTCGAAAAGCAATAACACTATGAAGTAGAGGAATGATTCCTCTATCAATAAGTATAGTTTTTTTTTGTGAGATTGAGTTTTTATTCAAGAGAAATCAGTTATTGACGTGTTTGTTTACTCCGGATTTTTGAATCAATAAACAAATTTTTATTTCTACTGCGTGAATTGTCAGCCGTCATAAAATAAATATGATTGAATCAACAAGAAATCTCTTTTAAAAACAAACATATTTTTGTTGTTGACCCAGCTGCCAAATTTGACAGCTTACGTCAAAACCATGAAAGCTCTTGTAAATTCGAAAAGATTTTCTTTTTGATTTAACAATCCATGGGTTTTAAGGAACAAAAATACTGGATTGTTGAAACAATAATGATTTCTTTTTGCAGCCAAAACAAAATGAAATTCTTATTGATTTTACGTCAAATATTATTACGTTTAACATATTTTTTCTGCGTGTAATAAATGAAATCCATGAGGATTTCACATAGCGTTCCTGTGATCACATAGCACAAATTCCATCACAAAATCACATGAATATTATGAGGCCGATGAAATTTACATGAATAATCATATAAAATTAATGTGATCGCATAAATGTTATGTGAAATTCAGATGAATTCCATAAATTTTGATTATGGATGAAAATCATGTGCGTTTCCAATGGAAGCTACATGAAAACTATTTTCGTTGTACCAAATTGACATTCGGATGATTATCTTTTGCTCTTTCTAAAGGGCCACCCACATTAGATCCGTTTGCGTTGCGTTGACGTAAATTTGACAGTTAGACAATAGATTTAGCTGTCACTTTGCCGCAACGCGTCCTATCCGGATCTAATGTGCGTGGGCCTTAACATCCTTTCCCATCCGTTTCATATGCGTGTCATCTTGATTTATGAATGCAAGCAGTGATGGATCGCTCTGGAAGATTCAGCAAAGTTTATGTTTGTTAGCTAAGAATCTAAGATCTCGGCAAAATATGGGTTTTTACGTTTTTACCATATATTATTTCGCAGTAGTACAAATATTGAATCACAATAAAAATTCGCAATTACTATTTACTCACCGGCCGCTCTCTAAATCATAACTAAAGGCTCGCCTAGAGAAAATAAAATATCCAGTCTTCTCTTATATCTAAAGTAAATTCAGATCACAACAAGGAATACGTTCATAAACTTTTATATTCTCCATGATTTAATATTTTAAGACTTGCCCGCCCTAATAAAAAATAACCATAAACGAACGATAACCCAAATCATTGAACTATTCCACAAATGGTTTGGATGATACCCAGAACACGTCGTTAAGCAAATTAACCATACAATTTTTATTAGGGCGTGCACTTTCCGTTGGGGTCACTCAGCATCTCCGTCGCATCTGAACATCACGCCTTCTCGCAGATTCCCCGTTGCACCGAACCGTCATTTTCTTCTCCATTCCAACTAGAGATTACTGGATCGCAACCCGTGACGTAAGGGTTCAATTCCACACGGTTGGACACTCGAGCCAGGGAGGCAGCTCCCACACCTGAACCCTACCTATCGACCCA